TACTTTCCTAATTTCATTCATGTGACATATTTTCACACTTAAACAGTTCCTAACTTGGGATACAGCTTCACTTAATGTGATAAGAACGCACTGGGGCATAATTTAATTGGTGCTGGTATTTCATAAAGTGTACATAAGTATTGTTACTGTTGGCTTCATAGATCTGATGAAATACACTATTAACTGTGCGATCTAGACCGCTTGTTTTAACTAACTCTTGAGCCTAAGTTTGCTCATCTTATAATGGGCATGATAATTCCTGCCCTGCTTATTTTATGGGTTTTTGAGAGTTGTAAAGTAGTGTGATAGATTTTGAAAACGAAACTTCTGTAGGCCTTGACTGTTGTTATAGTCTATAAGAGGAATGATCCTTACTAGGGAGAAGTGTCAACTGGCCAGAGATTTTTTATTTAAGGAACTTAGTGATAAAAATGACTTGAAAATATAGTGGACCTTATAACACTGTTAGGGGACTGTGGTTAGGTTATCTAGAGTTTGCTTTTATATTGGGTGGACGTTGTGGAATTGGGACAGGCTGTAGTTAATGTCTTCAAGTGGTTAACTTGAGCCCAGTATATTGATGCAGTGTGGTGATCTTGAAGTAATTTTTATAGTGTCATTGGAAGAAGCCAGAAGCCTTACAATGTCAGGATGCTCTGAACTTACGCTTTCCAAGGTGGGTTGTGTATAAAACAGTACTAGGGCCCTGACCGGTATGGCTCAGTGGATAGAGCGTCAGCCTGTGGACTCAAGGGTCCCAGGTTCAATTCTGGTCAAGGGCATGTACCTTGGTTGCAGGCACATCTCCAGTAGGGAGTGTACAGGAGGCAGCTGATCGATGTTTCTCTCATATCGATGTTTCTAACTCTCTATCCCTCTCCCTTCCTCTCTGTAAAAAATCAATAAAATATATTTTAAAACAGTACTAGGGTGCAGGAAGAAAATACTACCAATTTTTCCTTATTTAATTTAAATCTTATTTTTTAATTTTTTGTGTTATTTTGTACATAATACGCTAATACAACAGTATGTATCTCTATAATTTTAAAATGAAAATATATACTTGGAGGCTTATTTTTTGTTTGGTTTTGTTTTTGCTATTTTGGTTGAAATGAGACAGACATTTATCTGAGAGTACATTAATGTATCCAAAATAGTGATAGTGTAATTTATATTTCTACTGTATTATGGTGCTAGCCTTATTTTTAAGAAGAGTTTTGAGAAATGTGGAAGAGTATGGCAGTTTCTTACATTATAGGTGTTTCATGTATTCTGCTGCCTAGTCTTGGTGTACATTTGAGTGATTTCAAAACAAAGTACCTTGAAGAAGATTTAAAAAATACTTTATTTTTATTTTAAAAAATATTTTTATTGATTTCAGAGAGGAAGGGAGAGGGAGAGAAATAGAAACATTCATGATGAGAGAATCATTGATTGGCTGCCTCCTGCATGCCCCCTACTTGGGATCAAGCCTGCAACCTGGGCATGTGCCCTTGACCAGAATCGAACCTGGGACCCTTCAGTCCACAGGCCGACGTTCTATCCACTGAGCAAAACCGGCTAGGGCAAAAAATACTTTAATGAAGTCTATGTTAAATAAATCTATGACGAGCCTTTTGAAAGATTCACTTTCTAATTAGTTTTGTGAAAATCAGGCAGTTATTGTAGGATTTGCTTAAAGTTGGAATTCACTTGCCCTGGAGGGCATGATTTGAGCTGAGAGTAACAGTACTTTCAGGTTATGCTCGTGCTCCTGTGACTGGATAAGTCTTTCCTTTTGTCTTAGGGGCTCGTTTTGATGATGGTGCTGGAGGTGACAATGAAGTACAGAGAACGATGTTGGAATTGATCAACCAGCTGGATGGTTTTGATCCTCGCGGCAACATTAAAGTACTGATGGCCACTAACAGACCTGACACTTTGGATCCAGCACTGATGAGGCCAGGGAGACTGGACAGGAAGATTGAATTTAGCTTACCTGATCTAGAGGTTAGAAAACCATTTCTTAGAAAAGGGATTTTTGAAATTTTTCTTCCTGTGATGTTTTCCATTGTAATATTTTTCAATTCCCCTGTTTTTAGGGCCGGACTCACATTTTTAAAATCCATGCACGTTCAATGAGTGTTGAAAGAGATATCAGATTTGAATTGTTAGCACGACTGTGTCCAAATAGTACTGGTAGGTTGAAAGGTCTTGTTTATATTTGCTGGTCTGTCTGTCCAGGCTGCTTTAATGAAGCCTATTATTTTCTTTTTGTTTGACAGGTGCTGAGATTAGAAGTGTCTGCACAGAAGCTGGTATGTTTGCCATCAGAGCCCGGCGAAAAATAGCTACTGAGAAGGATTTCTTGGAAGCTGTAAATAAGGTCATTAAGTCCTATGCCAAATTCAGTGCTACTCCCCGCTACATGACATACAACTGAGCCCTGAGCTTTCATGAAAACACTTTTAATTGGAATCCTAAGCTTATATAGACTTGTTAATAACCATTTCACACAAAAAATAAATGGTTTTAAAATGTTTTTTTCAGATACTTTTTCTCTGTAGTATAATAAAAGGTGATATTTAGTATCATTAGGCACAAAAGATTATTACAGTGTACGTTATTTTTTGATCCACTACCATTTAAGGATTTCATAGCCTAAAGTGCTTGCTAGAGCATGTATGTCTTAGGCATATATTGGCTGGGTGCTGTACATATGTCATATCCTCCCATCTGCCCAGTGAGGTAGATCTAATGGATCTTGATCTAATGAATGCAAAAACTTGCCTACCAAATTGACTTGTTGCAGAGCTGGGATTAAAGTCCAAGTTTATCAGCTCTATCCTCTGTGCTCCTAACCAGTGTGCTATTGTGCCCGCATCAGAATAGCTCATCTGGGCACATGACCAGATGCATTTCCATGATTTCTCCCTACTGCGTTGCATAATAAAGCTTTGGCCAAACGTTTTTTAGAGTGGAAGAAGCATCTTATGTAATAAGTTCTGCTTTGCTATTTGACTTGATTTTAAATTAATAATTGATTGTAATTGTTGATTTTAATTTGACTTAATTTCAAATTAATCAAGAAGAATTGATTTACAGTTAAATCAAAAAGTATATGCACATAATCTAATTTAGAAAATCCAGAATTGGCTTTGTACAGATAAGTACTTTTTTCATTTTATAAATGGTTTAAATTTTGGTATTAAATATGTTGCATTGAAATTTTCAACAGACTTCTTTAAAATTTCTTGTGCAAACAACATCAAACCCCTTCCATAATTCCCTCCTTCCCCCAAATTCTGAGACTCAAGCACAATAAAGAATGTTTTTATTGCAGTTCAATATTCATAAGTAATGCAAAAGAGAGGTGGATACAGTTTAATTCACAAAAGAAAAAGTTGACAACATAGAAAATGCTGTATTACATTGAAATATTTAAAACACAGAAAGTTTTCAAACAGAAAAATTAAAGCCCTTTATTCATAAAATCCAACCACATCCTTTTTTGATTTTTCATTTCTGTGAAATTTAGAAATTTTTCCCCCCTAAGCCTGCCCTAGTCTTTCATGAGGTATAAAATATAAGCAGAACCTAGAAATGTCACATCCAAGCATTTAGAATATGCTCTTTGAAGTCTTACCACTTTTTCTTATAGCCACATACATCACATGCATCAATTTGAGACAACTCAAATTGAATATGTTGCCCTCACTCAGGCCCAACATGTTATAAGCTCAATCTTGACATCTCAGTTACAGGACAAAAATCTAACTGGCCACTCATGAGATATACAATAAATTATTTGAAAAACATGGGTGTTTCTACCCAGGCATGTATATGCAGATAGAATCAACATTATCTAGATTAGCATGCTTATACCATATTTAAAAACAAAATTTGCATTCACCAGTAATTCCCTTCACCTAAAATGCACATGTACATGTGTATATCTGTGTAGAGAGATGTTTATACATGCCAGGGTGCTGATAGATAAATCAGAATACAAAGGATTGATGACTAGAAAAGTAATACTGGAGTAATACTTAAAAATGTGATCAGATTTGTAAAAATATAATTTCCACAAAGGTCAGGTTCATCTGTTACATAAAGTAAATGCTGCATACCAGTATAATGAAAAAGTTGGTAAGCTTTTCAGAGGCAAGATGGATTTGTGATGCTCAAACTTGGTCACATCCAAGTCAGTAGCAGGCAGCTAGCTTTTGAACATTTTGTTGGGATATGAGGGGCTTCAAAACCACTGCATGCATTTTGGTTATGTTTGGAGAATTAGATAATACTTTTATCAGTTCTTATATCAACTTTTAACAGCACTCAAACCATATTATCAAGAATCTAAACATACTGAATCCTAAACGCATTCCTGAAAGGTACACTAAAAAGGACCAACAGCACTTTTGCACTCACTAAAACATACAGGCTCACACCAGGTACGTTTCATTGGATCTTAGAACTTAAACTGACTTACTGTCTTTAACACTAGATTGCCCAAGGAAGTCATTTTGACTGCTTTTTAATTTCAATTAGAAAAACAATGATGTATATAATGACAGAATTTCTTAGAATTTGGTGACTTTTTATACAACATATAAATGCGTTTATTAGTAATTGTAGTTACCTCCCCCTCCTTCATTTCCGGTATATATATATATGTGTTACACCTATATTGCCCAAAAGCAGTCATTTTGACTGCTTGGGAAATTATGACTCTTATTATTGAAATTGAGTAAATTTCTTATATGACCAGTTCGGCTGTGTATTGAAATAACAGTTTTCATTTTTTTTCGATTACCGTCACATGATAACATACAAGTACATGATAAATTGTCGATACTTGATAAGTTGCAGTTGCTCAATTAGCTAAACTAGTACTTGTTATTCGAATCTTTATGCAGTGATACTTGTTCTAATAAGTTGTTTATTTTATTTCTTTTGCGCCCTAAATTCATGAAAGAAATGTCGAACAGAAGTGAGTTATTGGAAAAGCTAAGGAACATAAGTGAAGAATGCTCCGATATTATTCTTCCACAATGCAGTCATTTTGACTGCTTTTGGGCAATATAGGTATATACAAAATTTCGGTCTTTCTAGTGTTAAAGGGGCAGACATAGGAGATAAAGCCTTCCCAGGTACCATTCCCACACAAGGGCACACCCCCTCCCCCACCCCCAACCCTTAAAACAAAACAAACAAAACCACACCTACTCACTCCAGGGCAAATTATCTGTGTTTGCTGGCCCTCCAGGCACACAGGAGGGCAGACTCATTTTCTCAAAATGTACCTTTGGAGGCAAGCACCTCCTTTCTCTGTGAAACAGGTAAGCGTACAGGATCAAACCACACGGAGTGGATGTTGAGATGTTACCTGAAAACTACTGAGGAGCTACTCCAGGGCTTGCAGAGGGTTCCTATCCTTCACTGTTCTCTGAGTCCCACTGCAGATGAGATTGGCAATTGGGACCCCCCCACCAGCTGCCGTATGAGTACACAGGGTCTGTGACATGAGCTAGCTTCCTGAGGCCCGGTTCACACTGTTTTCAAACATTCCATCCATCCATGAGGTAGAGATCAACCACTGTCATATTACACAGGATTTGAGAAAGACAAAGCATTTCTCTATATGGGACCTTCCTGAAAACGGCTTTCCCCTACTACCATAAGAAAGGCTAGTCCTATATTTATCGATGTACGTTATGCCCATTTTGACAGGGTAGTAAGAATCTGAATTTGAACCAGGGCTGAACAACAGAAAGGCCTACACTAGCAGCTATTAAAATCCAGAAAGAAGGTAGAGACAAAACATGACTAAGTAAAAAAGGGTCAAGAAATTTTCCACTATATGAAATAATTCGAAGTGAACCATTCCAAAATATTTACATGTAGATAAAATACATTTTGAAATGCATTCTTAGATTCTCAGAGGCATACTGAAAAAATTTCCCATCAGTAAGACAAGTGCTTTTTATGCACATGGTAGAATTCTATTTAAAATAGGTTAAACATTAAAGGACAGAAAAAATATGTAAGATATACTTTTTTTTGTACACTTTCAACCTATCAACAACTAAGGCTCGAGTCACTATTATGTGCAAAGCATTTGTTGAAGGCTGGTGCTAAGGAATATGCAATGAACTATTCTATAATACTGCTTACAATCCTTAGGTTCTACTTTAATGGCCGAAATGAAACTTTTACAAAAGTTTCTAGTATAAGGTGAGGTTCTATAACTACATGCTTTTTCAGAAGGCAGTCTGTATCAGAATGCAGATGTATCGGATCTTGCGTGTGATGATTGCCAAGGAAATAACTGGATGTAAATCTAATTTCACTTTAGATGTAGGGAAATAGTTGATTAAAAGGGAGGAGTCTACTTTGAATTAAATTAGTAAAGTTACTGAGAAGCCTCCTGGGAGTTAACGCAAACAAGCCACAGTGTTTGTTTCAGGGTAGACCCATGCTCACAGTTCTCTCCTGGCATCTGACCGCTTTTCTCCTGCGTGCTTTCTTCATGAAAACTAAGACAAGGGGTCAATAAGGAAACTTTTAAAAAAAGAAAAACATATAAAGAAGACAAACTGACTATCAGCAGGAAATCTTAGCAGTAGGAGGCTTTAGGCAGGTTAGCTAATACTTGTGCTTTGAATTCGAGTGATTTGTTACGTCTCTAACAATAACTTTTGATGACAAGTTGGCTTAATAGTCTCCCCCACGCCTTTGGAACAATTTTAAAGAGTGCTTGAAATAAGCATTTTGCTCATTCATAGGCTTATGACTGAGTTTGATGAAGAATTAATGGATAACTCTTCTGGACTTCTAAGGAAAATATTAAGTTATATGAAGGCATTAATTTTGTTAAATACATGGTCTTTAAGACTACTTCACTGTTAGAAACAACATTTCCAGGGGCACCTACTGGTCACAATTGTGATCATTTTAGCACCAAAAGAATAACTATAACAGACTGAAACACATTAAGAATTCACGAGTCTATATTTATAATGAAACAGAACTTGTCACCTTCTATTTATTAAACCAACTTAAAAAAATATTTTATTGCCAAAACCGGTTTGACTCAGTAGATTGAGCGTCGGCCTGTGGACTGAAAGGTCCCAGGTTCGATTCCGGTCAAGGGCATGTACCTGGGTTGCGGGCATATCCCCAGTAGTGGGTGTGCAGGAGGCAGCTGATCGATGTTTCTCTCTCATCGATGTTTCTAACTCTCTATCCCTCTCCCTTCCTCTCTGTAAAAAAATCAGGGAGAGGGATAGAGAGTTAGAAACATCGATGAGAGAGAAACATCGATCAGCTGCCTCCTGCACACCCACTACTGGGGATGTGTCCGCAACCCAGGTACATGCCCTTGACCGGAATCGAACCTGGGACCTTTCAGTCCGCAGGCCGACGCTCTATCCACTGAGCCAAACCGGTCAGGGTTAAACCAACTTTTTTGAAGTTAATAGTAAAAGGGAAAAATAAACTTGCCTTCCTAGTAAGAACTGTATTTAAGGATGACTAAATAGCTCAAGTTGAGGAAGGAAAGCTATAGTTTACATAGAAACACCAACTAATAAATGCAGAAGGAATATGAAAATTGGAAAAAAAATCACAAACCTGAGCATTTACTGATTTAGGCAAGTATTATCACCAGATGCTAAAACCCCTGGTTGAATGGCTCATGGGGAACTGGGAATTCATTAGATGCCAAAGGAACACCATGGTGATAACTTCCTAGTCACCAAGGTGAAAATGTAATTGAGGGGATTAGACTGTTAGTAGATTTACCTTAGCATTCAATGGTAGGGTCAACTAGATATGATGTGTTTTCTGATGTGATACAATTTAAAGCATGTGTCTCATCTATGATATATTCTAGCAAAAAAAAAATTTTCTTTCAAATCCATGAGGCTTCTAGATATAACTTCTAGATCACAGGTGGTCCAGGATATAAAAGGACAAGCTAAATAACACCGTAAGCAAGTAGACACGTTAGCAATATGGGATTCTGCAGGACAACTGCCCCAGTCTCTTTAACGAGTCAATGTCATTAAAAAAAAAAAAGGGACTGTGCTAGATAGACTTCAAAGGACTTAAAGGGACATGATCAGTTATAGTGGAAGGTCATAGAATGGGTACTAGTTTGGACAAACCAACTACAAATCTGGGGACAAGTGGGGTAAATTTGAATATGGTAAAAATGTTCTGGAATGAGAAAATGGAAATTGTTTATGGAAGAAAATAGGTTACTGAACATTGTGGTGTATGATCTTATTTTGGTTAAAAGATATAGATATATATTCATAAAGATATAGAAGGATATTCATTAAGTTGTTAGCGATATTTTTTGGTGGCAGTATCATGTTTTATTTTCTCTATTTTGCTTTTCTGTTTTTCTGTAATGCACTTATATTGCATCTGTAAAAATGAAAACTCATTTATTTCAAAAGAAGAACTAGAAAACCGTGGGTATGCCACCTCTATTCAATAACTCTCATTACAGAAAGTCGGTAGGGCAACGCGTACAAAAGCAAGGAACACTACATGTCTGGTGACAGCATAACTGATCTGTAGGTAAAGTGCTTAAAGAGAAAAATTCTTAAGTGCTTAGCTGACAACGATAATACTGAAAAGTAACAGAAATGTCACTGCACAATAAATTCAGGGAAGAGGCCAATTCATCTTGGAAACAGCCAATTAAAAGAAAACCACACAAGTAAGATACATCTTGCTATGCGTCATTCACCCTCCAAATCAAGCCTTGACTAATAGTATTTACTCTTAGAAAAAAAAATCTCGTGTCTAGTATTTAAAATGTGTAAATTAGTGGTTTTGGAAGAGGCTCATACCCTATCCCGGCCGAGTTCCTCACGCCTCGTCCTGAGTGGCATTGGGCTCCGCATCCTCCTGGGGCGGAGGGGTCAGGGCTTCTTGTTCAGCCAGCGCCTCTCGAAGCTGGCTCCCTAACACGGCATCGTGGATGCTGTGGAACAGCAGCTCCTTTAAGGCGGGATTTTCAAAAAAGAAGTTTGACGTGAGGTCATTTACAACTTGTGCTAGGAAAGAAGAAAAGAAAATTAGTCCGCACTCTGGGCATCAGTCTTGAACATAAAAAACAAACAAACCCACTTTCGTAGAGTTCAAATATTAGAATGGTAATAAAAGTCTCACTCCAGTTCCTGTCCCCATGGCATCACCCCCCCCCCCCCCCCCCCGCCAGGCGCAGGTGGCCACTTTCATTATTTTCTAATGCATTTTTCCAGTATTTCTTTATGCAAATGTAAGTAAGTATATAAACATTTATTCTTATTCCCCCCCCTTTCTCACCCAAAAGAAAGCATACTATATATTATCCTGAATATTTAAAAAATTTAAATCTTCTCAATTTTTATGACTACATGGTATTCGATCTCATAGATGTAGCCTCGTTGTCTTACGTGGTGCCTTTTGTTCGACAGTTGAGCTTTTCCACTCTATTGTTTTCAGAGACAGTACTGGGACCACTAACCATGTACGTGTTTCTTTTTTATTTTTTATTTTTTATTATTAGTTAAGGTATTACAAATGTGTCCTCATCCCCCCCATTAACCCCCAACCTCCCCCCCACACACAAACTCATGCTCCCATCCCCCTGTTGTCCATGTCCATTGGTTTGGCTTATATACATGTATACAAGTCCTTCGGTTGATCTCTTCCCCTTACCCCCGCCCTCCCCTACTTTCCTTCTGGGGATTGATAGCCTGATCGTTGTTTCTCAGTCTTTGGGTCTGTCCCTTTTCATCAGTCTATGTTGTTCTCTATAATCCACAAATGAGTGAGATCATGTGGTATTTATCTTTCTCTGACTGGCTTGTACGTGTTTCTTATTGAGTGTGTGTAGCACGTTGCTGGATTTGCTGGGTTAAAAGGCAAATGTGTTTTTGATTTTGAGAGCCTCCACAGAGGCTGTTCTATTTTGCACTCACACCAGCAAGGTCTGAGTGCCTGTTCTTCCACAGTGTGCCTGCAGAGCACACTGTCAAGCAGTTTTTATTTTTGCTGTTATGTAGAGTTCATTTTCAAGCAGTGTTTTAACCAAAATTTAATATGAAACAAGAAAGCAGGCATTGTATAGAAAAACCTAAGTTTATGGCAGCCATTAAATAATTACTAAAAAAATATACCAGCCCAGAGTGATGGTTTATTAGCTCCTCTCCACCAACTGCAGCTCAGGAGGCTGCCACAAGGAGCCCAGTAACAGGGGTGCCTGTAAGTGGCTAATTTCAAAGCTAGCTTTAGAGTGATTTTCCGAAGAATAATTTTCATTTTCACTAAAAATTAAAATTAGATTGAAGTATTTCCAAATGCGGTTACTGAAAAAAGAGAAAAAAAATCAAAATGATATTTCTCCTCATTCTAGAAGTGTACTTACCACTGCATCCTGCTAAATACACATAAATACCGACATCTCCATATTCTTTTACAATCTGTAATAATGTTAAAATAAAGTTTAGTTTCTCTTGACTGTGCCAAATGCAAGTTTATTTTTACCAATATGTATTTCACTGATATAAGACACTCTAGTGCATTCACTTGATCTACTTTGCTTCAATAATTATGCATTTTTGAGCTAATCATTTAAAAATTGTGTGTTTCTTTTGATTTTTATATGGACAGTGATAATTAGGGATACCAAAGAATTCTTGTTAAATTTTATTTAGGTCTATAAATTTTATTTAGGTCTGATATGTACTGAAATATTTACAGATGATGGGATGACTGGCATGCGCTTCAAAATAAGGGGAAAGTGGGTGTGGGGGACAAGTGAAACAAGATTCACCATAAATTGATAATTGTTGAAGCTGAGTGATACTTATGCGGGGGTTCATTACACTATGCTCTTTACTTTTGAATATTTTTGACATTTTCCATAATCAAAAGTTGGAAAACCCCCCAACAACAAGAGATGTTTAAGCGTCGAAAAGGGACTCTAAGTTCAACTGTCTGACTTTTACTGGTGGCTAAACTGGGCACAGAGAGACTAAATGACTGGTTCACGATGATGCTTACCCCTGACAGAGTTTTTACACCAACAGAATCGATAAAATTGACTTGTGTAAAATCCAGAATGACAGTGTGGACATTGTCCCCTGGGGGCATAAATCTTTGCAGTTCTTCAGGAATTGTGGTCTTAATGACTACTGGGGGAAATTTTATCTCATCATCCTCTTCTTCAGTCTTCGTAGCATCTTCCCCGTCTACTTCTCCATCCTGTGTCAAAAATTAAATCACACCAGAATTCTATGTATTTTGGTCCTGAGAGTTATAAGGAAAAATTAGTCTTTAGAGTCTCAAGCTACTGTCTATACCAGATCTTTTCTAAAATATTTGCCAAATCCCAGCCTTGTAATGTGACAAAAAAATGTGTGCATAATATTCAATTTTAGCTCAGTTTATTTTCCTTTTTTTGGCTCAATGAAATCTACTCTTAGTCCATTTTCCCCTAACTTCTAAAATAATTCTATTAACTTCAGCATGATAGACCATAAGTTACCATAAGCCTGGACAGTAAAAACCAGCCTTTGAGCTTTTTGACTATAAGCTGAATGAATCTATGGCTAAATACTAATGATAAAATTTATTAAGGTTCTGTATGATGTTTACTTTTTAAAACAATATTTTCCGCCCTACTTGCTTTTGCTCAGTGGATACAGCGTCAGTCCGCAGACTGAAGGGTCCTGAGTTCGATTCCAGTCAAGGGCAGGTACTCTGGTTGCAGGCTTGATCCCGGCCCCAGTCAGGGGCATGTGGCAGACAACCAATAAATGTGTCTCACATCAATGTTTCTCTCTCTGTGTTTCCTCCCTCCCTTTCACTCTCTCTAAAAACTAAAGGAAAAATATACTCGGGTGAGGATTACTGAAATAACAAACAACAATGTTTTCCTGAGCCTATATCACTACTTATTTCAGAAGCATTCTCATAACTAACCTTATCATGCATTTTTATTTTTTATCATGCATTTTTAATACATAAAGGATAGTTAGATTATTTCTAAGCTTTCTTATTTTAGGGACTTCATGCTGTGTTAAAATTTCAATCATGAATAAAGGTGGGGGCCACTATGAATCAAGAGAGAAGGGAAAATTACACTGAAGAGACCACTCACCGCCTTGATAATGGTTGCGTTGGCTAAGTTTGCATTCCCGACTTCTTTAGCATACTTCTTCATGGCCTTTCTTCTTGCTCCCATAATAAATGCTGGGTTCACTCCCGTCTTTACAGAACAGCAATATTTGAAAATCACTTCTTGACTCCCAGGACCCCCCCCCCCAATACAATTAATCTTTAAATGTCCCAATTTGATGGTTTTCTATGCGAAGTTACCACCCCAAACCTTTCTCTACCTTTCTCTCAGATCCCTGAACTGAATTATTCCCTCATTACAAGAATTTTAGTACGTTTTCTTATTCTTGGTCTTGATTCAAGCCAAATAGAAGCTAAAGTATTAAAGAGAATTTAAAGTAGCATTTTTCAAACTTAGATTTCTCAGATTCTTATATTTAAGAGACTTTGGGTTGATTGTGAGGATTTCCTATAAACTGGACAGGGTAGGATCAAGTTCTAATCATGACCAAAGGAACTCTTATGATCCCAAGAGCAAGAAATCTAAAATTATTTTTTCACCTTTTCTTAAAAATTTTTTCAAAAGGTTATATATATATATATATATATATATATACTCACACACATACATACAAAAATGTACACATACATTTTAAAAGGTTATATATATACACACATCTACAAAAATGTAGAAAGAGAAACAATGTAAAATTAATTTTTTGTGACTCACCTTTCTTTTTAATGCATTGCTATACAAGTCACTATTTGCATAATAAATTGGGGCATTTATTTGGAATATTTTAATTCCAGGAATTTCTTTCACCTAAGAAATAAAATGTTAGTGAATTTAAAACATGGAAATATTTCAGAATCAAAACTGCAATAGCCTCCCTCTTCCAACCTGAAAATTCACACAGAGGTTGCTAAGGGCCCTCTTAATAGTGTTTAGATAAAACAATGTCTCTCTACTCATGCTCTGGAGGAAGGAGACCAAGAAGAAAGCCTTTTAAAATGCACATTTTGATCAGAGAACCAGGATGACGGCATAGGTAAATGCCAGTACTCGCTGCCTCCCACAACCACATCAAAATTACAACTAAAATACAGAACAACTATCACTCAGAACCACCTGAAATCTGGCTAAATGGAAGTCTTACAAGTAGAGAATAAAGATGAAAGTATATAGAGACTGGTAGGAGGGGCAGAGGTGACAAATGGGCTGGTCCGACACTGTGTGGCTTTTATTTATTTATTTTTAAATCGGGAAGATATCTCTGCTGCAGAGGCCTCTTGTGAAAAGACAGGGGTCCCAGCCTCACTTTGGGCCCCAGCCCAGGGTTCCAGAGCTGAAAAGAGAAGTCCCCATAACTTGGGCTGTAAAACCAGCAGGAACTGTGACTGAGTGACACTGAGGCTGCTGGAGACCCAGCAGTTCCCCTTAAAGGACTTACATGGTCCTGCTCCCTGTAAGCTCCAGCGCTGAGGCAGCAGTTTGGGGGAATCCAGAAACATACGGGGAGAAACTGGATATCTGGCATTGGAGCAAGAACTCAGGAGTGGCTTTCTCTCAGACAGGGGTGCTCACTGGGGTCATTGTTCCTATGCTGAGACCTCCCCCTGTTGCAGAGATGACCGGCAGCCATATCTGAGTTTCTCATACTGTTTTCTCTGCCCTGGTGATTTCCTGAGACCCCACCCCACCCAATTTGCAGCCCCACCCAAGCTGTTTGCAATGGCTTTTCCATATGAATGGTCTGTCCTGGCTCAGACTTCAGACTTACCTATAATCTCTCAAACAAGCAGCAGCTGGCCATCAGCAAGACCTGGCACTAGCAGCAGCCTGCCTTGCTTCACAGCTTGGCCTAGCCTGGGCACTTCTAAGCCCCACACAAATAGCAGCCATCTGCAGATCGCTCTGTGGCTTCTGCTGGGTGGCACCTGGTAGTAGTTGACTTTGCATTTCCTGGGAGGCCCCAGAGCCACTGTACCCAATGGACAGTTTCAGACCATACCAGATTACAACTTTACACATCTATGAGCAACACACTCAAGCGGCAAACTCAGTGAACACTAACACCTCACGGAAGCAAATCCTACTCCATAGGAGTGTCTCTTGAACAGCAGCTCTTCCACTGTAGTCACAGCTGGTTCTCACAGCCAATTGGCCTGGAGGTCAGTTCCTCCCAGTGATGCCAATAGCAATCAAGGCTCAACTACAAGACTGTGTACACAGTGTAGACAGGGGCACACCTAGTGCGCTCAGCTCAGGTGACTGGGAAGGCTGAGCCACTGGGCCCTATAGGATACCTACTACACAAGGCCACTCTACCAATTCCAGGAGACATGGCAGCTCTACCTAATACATAGAAGCAAACACAGGGAGCCCAGCTGGCATGGCACAGTGGTTGAGGGGACTTGTGGGCTTGGACCCCAGTATAGGGTGTGCAGGAGGCAGCTAATTAATGATTCTCTCTCATCATTGATGTCTCTATCTCTTAAAAAAAAAGCCTTGTCTCTGGAATGCAGTTTGGAAACAAGTAATTCAGCATATAATTCTTCGGAAGGAGGAGAAAACAGTAATCCTAATACAATCGCATTTCCTAATATCTTACAGTGAATCTGAGAATTTCTTCTCCAGAAAAAAACAAAACAGAGAAAACTAGTTTTAAAAGATTTTATAAAAGTCTTTGAGATTCCACATAAGAACATTCAAAATCAAGGATATTTTAAACCCCGATTTTAACCTATATTTTACATAGTTAATATTTTACCATCAGTTTAAATCATCAGGAAAAAATCATGCACATACAAACCATCCTCTCAGTTTCAGTATTTTGTAAATATATACCTTAATTCCAATAATATATATTTATCCTCATTTAAAAAAGAGACAAAATTAATATTAGGAGGTTGAGCAATTAATTTATAGTATAATGTACAGTGTAAGCTATAAAAGTGAATCCAGAGAGTAAATCAATATTCAGGATTTTCACTTTGACCAGTATACTTCCTTCCTTTTAACCCCCACTTTTTGTCCTAGGTGAAAATAAAATTTAGTTAGCCAATCACATTACACCACATCACATGCTTACAACCATTTAAAATTATAGAAAAGGTCCTACCTCCTCATATGCATCTATATCAATATACACATCAGTGTCAGGAAGCTGTCCAAGGACTTTGTAGCTCGGACTGAAGAGAGAGAGTGAATGTGTTAAAATACCATTGTGTTGAGACCCAGTATGTAATTGAAAAATGAAGTTGTACACACTTAAATGTCATGTATGGATGTGCTAGTGAATTCAGGAATACTTGATCCTTATATGGTGCCTTTCACATTCCTAGTGCCATTCCAAACCTAACATTCTCCACACACTTCACACCACACACACCCTACACCTTACTCCCAACATATACAATACACACATACAGCAAATATATCTCACATCACACAAATAACACACACAGACACATAGAGACACATACCCCACATATGACACATACCCTTCACATACACATACACAATGTAATTACACACACACACCATACAAATACACACCACACCAGACACTTACCATATCAACGACCTGATCAGGAAAAAAGACTTGGGCATTTAAAGATGGGGGTAGAAATGAATTGTGCAGAGTTCAAGTCATGCCATACATGACTCAAGTTCTCATTCTACTCAGTAGATAGAACTGTCATCCTACTCTACTTAAGAAGAGGTTTTCTTTTTGTTTCTAGGAGTCTCTGACCGGGGTGTGGGTAGTCAACTAAAGAGGTGGGGAGAAAATAAAAATCTCCAGTTAGCATAGAAATTTTCTTAAGTTTTGTTTGATAAATTGAAGCCCAGTGAGGTAAGGTGGGTTGTCAGGGAGCTTTGAGAGCCAGAATATGTCCCAAAGTCTTTGATGTGACATTCCATGGTCTTGGTACTATGTCCTGGTGCTTCTTAGCATGCAGAGGCAAGTGCTGTGTGAGTTAGAATATACAATACAAACAGTAGCTAATTTTCTGGGTGGATTCCCTCAATAAGTATTCAGAGAACACACTATGTGCCTGATTCTGGACTCTAGGAACACTGCCTTCACGGTCAAGATGCTCAGTCTGTAGACAGATACAATCCACGTAAAGTCAACACTGCAATCTCGGGCAGGACACACAGATACAATCCACGTAAAGTCAACACTGCAATCTCGGGCAGGACACTCACACATCCCAATCTGTACACTCACCTCTGTGTTCTGTAAATCACAGTCATCAGCGCAATGATGACAGCAGTAATCAAACCATAGTCCAACCCCAGGAACAAGGAGGAAACGAAAGTCGTAAGCCAGATGGTCTGAACGAAATACAGAAAGCTTTATGGAGAATCCTGTTAACAATTTCCTAGAGACACACACACACACACAATACCTAACCTTGCCTAACTGGACACTGCATATAACAACTGACTGCGTTAAATTATAATTCTCACATTTTTATCAGCACTAATCCCTGTGTTGCTATGATCAATCACCTAACAATCACCTTTGTTACTTACCAGCTCTATTTTGCTGGTTCTCCAGAAAAAGGGGAGATCTGAGAATTGCATAAACATTCCTTTCAGGTTGACGATCACAATGGCCGACAGCACAGCCTGAAACACAGTACATCCACACTTGCCTCTCCTCTTGTGTCCAAACAGCCCCATTTGCTGGCTCCTCACTGTCCTCCTGCTGCCCTCCCACACCCTCTCCCCACTCACTTCCTACGCGGCAGTGATGGTACATTTGGAGCCATGAACACCTGGATTTTCAGGACTTGGTTAGCTAAAATGGGCCTTGGAAAACCAGGCTTATATCCTAGCAGCAAACCTGCATGGTAGTCAAGAGGTTCAGAATTAAACTTGGTACTCGAGGAGTTATTTCACCCAATGGCCTTTCTACATTGATTTTCTTTACTCTAACATTGTTCGTCATCTCTACTAGATTAAATATGTCAGTAAACAAATGTCTGAGGAGTGTAGGCCATCTCAGATTTTAAAAGGAAGTATTAGGTGAGAGAAGATCAAGGAGAAAGGGACCTTGGAGACTAGCCAGTGCAAACACCCTCTTTGCAGGTAAACTGAGACCCAGAGATGTTGAGACGGCTTTCCCAAGGTCCCAGTTGCTGGTAGATTGTGGACTAGGATCTTGGTCCTAGCCTTGGCCCTTTCTCATACCACCCTGCTAGGGTTACATTAAAGACCCATGAAACATCCACAAAAATATAAACAAATAAAATAGCAAAATTTGTACACATGGAAAACCTCACACCAAGTCCAAGCTACACACCTGGGGTAATGATTCAAAGAGGAATCCGGTGGCTAATATGACCATCAGAATCATTAACGAGGCCAAACAACCTGCAAGCTGCATGAGAAAAGACACATGGAAGGGGCTTTTAGGAGAGAGTAAGAGGCCAGCATAGATTGGTCCTAGTCTTTTGATAACCAATGTGAGACGATCAAGAAAAGATGGATTCATATAAGTCACTCAAACCATTACATAAACCTATTAACTCCTTCCCACTTCTCTGAAGTTCTGGCTCCTCTTACAGCTTTTAAACAGAAGCTGAAATACCCTGACTGAAATCTGCTTGCCGGGGTGGGGAAAGGAGATATCTGGTGCTGATCTGAGACCCGTAAGGGCCAGAAGAGGTCAGATAAGACTCTGCTGTCCAATGTGGTGTCCACTAGCCACACGTAGCTCTTTAAATTAAAAGAATTTAATCTAAAGTAAAAAATTAAGGTTTTGCCTGCACTAGTCACATTGTAAGTGCTCAAGAGTCTCAAGTGGCCAGTGGCTGCCATACCGGACGGTGCAAATACTGAATATTTCCATCACTGGTGGAAGTTCTATTGGATAGTGCTGGCATCCTTCCCATTCTCAGCCTGAGGCTTTCATGACAACATCCCGTGTCTCAGCTTTGAGGTTTATGACAGCAAGGAGTATCGTATAATTTTTTGATTAAACTGGAGAGTATACCTCTTTCCTATAGATTTAGCTCCTTGGGATTTGCTTCAATCAATCATACTTTTTTTCTGATTCACTACACAGCTCACTGGAGCCTGGATCTTCAGGCAGAATAGCTTTGGGTTCAGAAAAGAACCAAGGGATTAAAATTAAATTACCACCCAAATCACCAGTCCCGAGAAGCCAGGCGTATACATACCTGTGTCTTCCCTCCAGTGCCCTCCTGAACAAGGCTTCGAGACAAGGAGCATGAAATTGCGAAAGTCTGGAAGAGTGAGCCAATGGAATTGCACAGTCCCAGCGCAATGAGCTCCTTTTCCATGTGGAAACAAAGCACACGAGAGATCCGTTATTCTTCAGAAAGAAAGGTGCGATGGCCCACGTAATATACATTGTCAGCAGTATAGGCTGTTTCTTCATTGTCTTTTCAGATACAAGAAATGGTTTAGAATGAGCTCAAAATAGGAATTATTCCATAATTTAAGGTGGGGGTGGGAAACACTTTGAATTTTTAGTGTTGGCGGTAAATGCTGCACTCAGCTTTCTTTCCCAAATACTCTCTAAGGGACAATCCTTTCAACTTTAAGTTCTTTATTGTTGAAAGTATTACACATGTCTCCTTTCCCCCCTATTGACCTCTCCCCGGCTGCTCCTGCCCCCCAGCACATGTCCTCGCCCCCCTACTGTCTGTGTCCATTGGCTAGGGCTAAAACTTTTTTGTTGTTAAGGTATATAGGATTGTGGTGTGTAGTTCTGACATCTTTTGAATGCCTGGCTCTTGTTCAACCAGAGTACATGTCAGTGTCCTCCTGGGGCAGTGAAACCTGCTCTCAGGGCTACTCTGGTCTTCCTGGTTGGATCACTGTGCTTCATATGAATGGGGATCATCTCCTCTCCTCTTAGAAACACAGAGCATGTTAAAACAGACACTGTCATGCCAAAATTATAGCTCATGGCATTCAGATTAAATACCTTATCTGTAGCTATGTTATAAAAGAAGGTGGCAAAGAATACACTGTGGAGTTTGAGTGATGAATCATACACTCAACGTTTAATGACCAGAGAGAAGGTTTCCTGAGGAGTAAAAATGACTCTGGAAAAACATTTTATTCCCAATCTGTGATCACATCTTTAAAAACTCACTTTAAAAAGTGATCACATCTGCCGAAACCGGTTTGGCTCAGTGGATAGAGCGTCGGCCTGCGGACTGAAAGGTCCCAGGTTCGATTCCGGTCAAGGGCATGTACCTTGGTTGCGGGCACATCCCCAGTAGGAGATGTGCAGAAGGTGGCTGATCGATGTTTCTCTCTCATCGATGTTTCTAACTCTCTATCTCTCTCCCTTCCTCTCTGTAAAAAATCAATAAAATATATTAAAAAAAAAAAAGTGATCACATCTATTGAATGACAACTGTAATTGAAAAAAAAACCAAAAAAACAAACACAACTAAAAACAGTGGTAACATCAATAGCAGTACGGCAAACTGGAAATCTCAGATTGGAGATTTCGCCTTTCTAGCTGGACCTCTGCCCTTGGGATGAGTATGATAGTGATCTGATCTACATTAATTATGAAAAAAATGTAATGTTCAATAAATCATGCTTTAAATACATCCACCATCAAACTACACGTTTTTTGATCAAGACAGAGGAATCAAGTTCACTTGCCTTTCATTAGCAGAGCATGATGATTGTATCACTAGGGAACACCTGTACAAAAGTAATGATTTTTACCTGATTGCCATCGACCTGGTAGCCATGTTTATTTCCCAAGGTCTTGGCCATCGAGATAGTCACTGAAAACCCAACAATGGCTATGGCGATGGAATCCACGTACACGAGGTGGAAGAGGCTGGTGTCCGGATTGGCTGGAGGGAGTAGCCTGAAAGAGCAAGCTGACTTTAACCCAAGAGCTGTGACCACTGGGAAACAAACATGCAATGAAAGGGGAGCATCTCAGAGGGGCATTATTTACAAAGGAGGTGATCCATGGGTACTTGTTTGCTCTCGTTTGGCAAAAAGGGCCCTTCTGGACACACAGAGGTTCTTTCCAGGCCTCAGCCCCAGAGTACCACCTTTCTACCTGAATGGGTTATCAGCAGAGATCAGATGCCGTTTTATTTAGAAAAGGAGTAACCTCACACCTCATGGCACCTGCATGGCAGGTGTAAGTAAGAACCAGAACAGGAAGAAGAGACATTCGAACCAAAGCCTGAGGGCAGGGAGGGTATCGGGCAAGGGTCATCTTGGAGGAGAATTACTGTCTGAACAATAGTAGGCACTCACTGCTCTCCCTTGTTATTTCACATAACTGCTTCTTCCCAGGATCTCTTCAGGTGAGTTTCTAACATCAGAAAGGAGCTGCAGCAAATTATGCTCCTTGGGTCTCACCTGGGAGTCTGAAGGGGCCAATAATGTGACTCCGGAAGCCCCACAATGGGCAATCTAATTTCTGTGGTCCTTTTTATAGGTTGGAAACTCCTTCCTAAAGGAAAAGAATAGGAATTCCCTAGAATAGTTTGGGGGAAGGAGCAATATAGGTTTTCAAAGGCACCTGCTCCCATTTGAGACACTGGGCTAGATCAGTGGTCGGCAAACTGCGGTTTGTGAGCCACATGCGGCTCTTTGGCCCCTTCAGTGTGGCTCTTCCACAAAATACTGACTTCTGCGCATGGGCCACGAAGTTTCAATCGCACTGTACATGCGCGCCCGCACGTGGTATTTTGTGGAAGAGCCACACTCAAGGGGCCAAAGAGCCGCATGTGGCTTGCGAGCCGCAGTTTGCTGACCACTGGGCTAGATAATAAAAATAATCAATTAATTGATGCATAATATTATTCTTTTTTTTTTAAAAAAATATATTTTATTGATTCTTTCACAGAGAGAAAGGGAGAGAGATAGAGAGCTAGAAACATCGATGAGAGAGAAACATCGATCAGCTGCCTCCTGCACATCTCCTACTGGGGAAGTGCCCGCAACCCAGGTACATGCCCTTGACCGGAATCGAACCTGGGACCTTCCAGTCCGCAGGCCAACACTCTATCCACTGAGCCAAACCAGTTCGGCAATAATATTATTCTTACAGTAACGATCACTAGGTATTTCCTCTGTGCCAGGTTCTGTGCTTATTTATCTCCAGGAGCCCTGTAAGCCGGGCACCATCATAACGGCCATTTTACAGATGAAAAAAATGAGGCACAATGAGGCGAGGCAACCTGTTCCAGGTCAAACAGCTCACCAACTGCTCACAACGAAAACCATGAAGAATCCACCTCCCTGTGCCTCTTACTATGTCATATCACAGTGACAGAGGGGATGTCTCAAGTTCTGGGGGAAAGGAAAGGGAGGAGAGAGAGGAGAGGAATCTAACATAAAAGCCTAGATTATGTGCTACATGCTTGACATATGTCATCTCACGCATCCTCACAATAATCCTACTAGCTAGGTACCATTATTATCCCAATTCATAGGTGAAAAAAATAGATGCTTGCAGATGTCAGGTAATTTGCCCAAGATGGAGCAGGCAGTCACACTCCAGGGGTCTGACTCTAAAACTTACTGTCTTTCCCTTGCCCTTTGCTGCAGAAGCGTTAGCCAAGAGGGAAGGCCTGGGAGCAGCTTTGGCTGAGGAATAAGAACATGAGAAAAGGGTTGATTTTGGAACGAAGGGAGGAAAGTAAACCAAGAAACAGAATGTGCCGCCACAACTTGGATCTCTAATAGTCAACCGCCACTTTCTGGACACTGTGCTGTGTACGTACTTACGTGCGTGCGTGTAGACAGAGTGATGTGTGTGTGTGTAAGTAAGTGGGATAGTCTGCTTTCAGATAGGACCCAGAATTCCTCCCGTCCTTGCACGTGCTGCTCTCCCATCCCGGGGTGGAATCTGTTTCTCCTCTGGGTCCATCTTGTGATTTGCTTTGACCAGCGGAATGTGGTGAAAGTGACTGTGTGAGCGCTTTAAGCGGCTTCTGCTGTTCTGTCCTGCCTTGAGCCACCACGTAGAGACACCATGTGGAGAGCAGAGGCCAGCCAGCCCTCAGCAGTCCCAGCCCCTCCGGCTGAGGTGTCAGCCCTGCTGGAGCCTTCAGCCCCAGTCACCCCGTCAGACATCTACAGCGGCACGAGGGACCCCAAGTGAGAGCGGCCAGAGAACCACCAGCCGAGCCTCACCTGGACTGATGAGCTGCACACAAGGAAATGGATGCTGCTTTAAGCACTGATAAGACTCACAGATAACGGAAACGGTGTGATGATACAGATACAGATAGGTGGGTAGGCAGGCTTTATTGGTTTCCTGCTCGGTTTGGGGCAAAATTCCAGAAAGATAAGCTTTCTGGGTAGCCAAGTTTCAGAAAGGTAAAATGTCATTTAGAAAAGAAAAACTCTAGCTGACAGAGGGAAAGCAGCGTAATCGGGAAAGTATATGGGTGGCATGTGAATTTTTAAAAGAAGTCTAAGTGTGAGGGTTCACATTTATTCAAGTACTTGTGGTTAGTTATTCAGTAGGGTTAGCTCTTGGATAATGTTTATCACATGACTAATTATCTTAGTGACTCAGGTGTGAGGTCATGGAAAGTGCACACAACTGAGTATCGGACGACTGAGCTCTGGGCCCAGGCTGGGACTCACCAGGAGTCACCAAACCTCATTCATGTCTCTCAAGTGTCACCTTCTTGGATACGCTACCTAAAACAGCAACCCCAGCCCCTCCCATCCCTTTCCTGGCTTCCTCTCTCTGCACAGCACTTCTCACTATTTGGTTGTTGCCTGTCACCCCCAGGAGAATATGAGCTCCATGAAAACAAAGACATTTATGTTTACATGTTTGCTTTTCGCTGCTGTGCCCCTGGCATATAACAGGCACTCATTAAACACATGCTCAATAAATGAATTTACTTATCTGTAAAATGGGAATAATGTACGCAACAAGTGTTATTGTGAGCAGCAACTGAGATGGTGGGTATTAAAGCATTTAAAAAATATTTTTATTGATTTCAGAGAGGGAGAGAGATAAATAGAAAAATCAATGATGAGACAGAATCATTGATTGGCTGCCTCCTGCATGCCCCACACGGGATCAGGCCCGCAACCCAGGCATGTGCCCTGACCGAGAATTGAACCTTGACCTCCTGGCTCATAGGTCGACGCTCAAACACTGAGCCACCCTGGCCGGGCCAGGCTAACGTGTTTTATAAATGACAAGTCCAAATACAAAATCAAGCGTTATTACCGTGTTATACGCGAGTTCATGCTTCCTCCTTCAACACTTGCTCTGGGGAGTGAACTCTGTCTTCAAGAGCACCTCCCTCTCCCTGTGATTCCCACAAGGTTCGTAGGTGGGGCGAGAGGCAAGGTCTGAGGGGACATGCCAGGTTCTGTCAGCCTCCAGCATCGGGGCACATGTCTGCCTCGGTTTTTGGGAAAGAGAAGGGGGTGGTGAGTGAGACAGTATGAGAGATGCAGAGGCCGCCAGAGAGGGTCAGAGAGGAACAGAGCCAGACCAGGAGTGGCTCATAGCCACTCTTGCTCCTTCAAAGGAAGGGAATAAAACATTTAAAGAGTTAGATAAAAGAAAAAGATGAAGCAAAGAAGTAACACATGATTTAAAACTAGAAAAGTTGTTGAAAGAATGAGCCAGAGAACTTTTGGTTACTGTCTCGGATGCTTACAGCGTATCAGGGGCCACACTAATATCCCTGGGGCTCTCTCAGTGGGCCTCGGAAAGGAATCAGTTACCAGGCCTGCCAGGCAGGAGAGAAACGGAGGCTTCGAGAGGACAGGGACTTGCCCAAGGTCACACAGCTAGAGAGTGGCAGGCTAGACTTAGGTCTTTTTGCTCTTAATTTCAAGGTCTCCCAAGGAGAGTTTTAAACACTGGTACGTGCTGAACAACAGGAAACAAAGCGAACACCACATGCTGCGCGGGTGGGACTGTAACGTGGTGCAGACAGCGTGGAACACGGCATGGAGGCTCCTCACCAAGTTACACCCAAAAGAGCGGAAAGCAGAGTCTCGAAGAGATATTGGCACACCGTGTGCACAGCAGCACTATTCGCAACATCTAAGAGGTGGGAGCAGCACACCACCCACCGACGGATGAAAACGGCAAGTGGTGTACCCACCGCGGACTTCTGTTCAGCTTTAAAAAGGAAGGACATCATGGCATACGCTGCAACAGGGATGAACTTTGAGGACATTATGCTAAATGAAATGAGCCAGTCACAAAAAGACAAGCACTGTACAATTCTACTTATATGAGGTACCTACTGGAGTCAAATTCAGGGAGGCAAAAAGCAGAATGGTGGCTGCCAGGGGCTGAGGAAGGGCGATGGAGAGTTCTTGCTTAATGGGCATGGGGTTTCAGATTTACAGGACGAAAAGGCTCTGGAGATCAGTTTCATAACACGAGTATAACTAACACTGCTGAACGGTACACTTAGAAATGATTACAATGGTACATTTTATGTTATTTTTTTTTACCACAATAAACAACAACCACCCATGCACATGCTAAAAATTGAAAAATCAAAACAACAAAACCCCCCAAACCTTCAGCTATTTGATAGGTCAGAATAAAAGGGGTTTCTCATTGCAAGAACACTAAAGCAGGAGCTAGAAACCACATTAGATGCATTTATTATTCAAGTCACACTGTTACTTCAAATTATTTTCCTACCCCAGAGGAAGTGACCCAACGACATCCACATTGTACGACTCGTGCAAGCCGAACCCAGCTGAAATGCCAGTTCCCATCACCACCTAAAACAGACACAAACCAAATGTCCTTTACAGAGAATTCAAATGCCACAAAATGAGCTCTTCAAACACTGTTAGCCAAGCCAAATCTATTCTCACTCAACTTTCAGTTTTAAAAAGAAGAATTACAGTTAGCTTCTAGCAATTCTAAATTCTCCTGACGACTCTCCCTGGAAAATTAAAATGGACTCTAGTTTCCTTGTGGCCTGGTGCTTTCCTTTTTCTTTTGGTCTGTTCCATGCTGAAGTGTTTGGCTAGTTGACTGCAAACAAAAAAGCCCATAAAACCTTTCAGGAGTTGGCTGTGCATGTGGGCCAGGGGAAATGTGTCTCTGATCACATGGCGCGAATAGAGGTCACTGAAGCTTGTACTGTGAAGGGGGGTACGATGGCAGTGTATCATTATAAAATGTAGATGAGTGGATAAAAAAGCTGTGGCACACTTACACCGTGGAATTCTATGCAGCTGTAAAAAAGAAGGATCGCTTACCCTTTGAGACAGCATGGAGGGGCCTGGAGAGTATCATGCTAAGTGAAATAAGGCAGTCAGAGAAAGACAAGTATCACATGATCTCACTTATATGTGGAATCTAATGAACAAAATAAACTGATGAACAAAATAGATCCAGAGACATGGAAGCATGCGACAGACTGACAAATCTGAGGGAAAGGGAGGCGGGATGGGAAGAGATTAACCAAAGAATTTATATGCCTCTATGCATAATCCATGGACACAGACAATAGTGAGGTTGAAGGCCTGGGGTAGAAGGAGGGTGTGGGGTTGAGGGAGAATGGGGAGTAGAGCAGGTCAAGGGGGAAAGAAGGGGACATCTGTAATACTTTCAACAATAAAGATAAATTAAAAAAATAAAAACTAAAAAAATAATGTACGTTTGGATCTGCAGTCGTCCTGCTGACCCTGTTTCCAGCACCATGTGTGGGGGAGCAGCTTGCAGTTGCCTCCCCCCAGTTCAGCTAGGGTCAGAGTGCAAGTGCCCATCACACACGTTTCCTCATACACCAGCTTCCTGGAATGCCAGGGCATAGATTCAGTTGGTGTGGAAAGCACTACCCTTAGTGAGCTACAAGAAGAGAGAAACAAGAAGGAAGGCAGGCAATTTTCTTCATCCTGAAGAATGATAGCTACAGAGCTTTGAGTGGGCTGCCGAGAAGGAATGAAGGCTGTCCAGGGAAGGGAGCGGGCCCTCACGGTGGTGGCAGCTCAGGGAACCCATAATGAGGTGAGCTTATCTGACACAGCAGCCTGAGAGACCAAGTGCATGGGTGCTTCTGGCCCCTTTGATGAGATGCTCCCTGTTCTTTTAAATATATATATATATTTTAATTGATTTTAGAGAGGAAAGGACAGGGAGAGAAAGATAGATCAGTGACGAGAATCATTGATCAGCTGCCTCCTGCACGCCCCCCCACCGGGGATCCAGTCCGCACCCCGGGCATGTGCCCTGACTGGGAAACGAACTGTGGCCTCCTGGTTCATAGGTTAATGCTCAACCACTGAGCCACACTGGCCGGGCCGAATTACCCCTTTTTGTTCATCGCATTTATGTCTGTCACCCTGAATTGTATTAGCTGTGCAACGCAAACTGGGGGTTTGGAGGGGTGTTTGTCCAGAATATTCAAATCCATAGGATAAATGTGGCTTCAGTTTCCATTGCCTCAACTTCATATAGTGGAAACTAATTTAAACCCTGCTTTCCGATCAACACAAACAGATATATTACGAAATAGAATGCAAAATTCAAAAGTGTTTTTATGATCAAAAAGAAAGTTTATGTTTACAGGGAGTCATAAAGACTGTCCCACATTTTCCAGCGTGGCTTCTCTCTCCCTTGCTCTGAGGAGAACTTAGATAAGAAATTTAAAAAACACTGGATTCCTATAATCATAAGGATAAAATTCTAGAGAACCATTGCCCTGGGAAACATGAAGGAATCCATTAAAGGGAACCTGGGAAATGGACAGAACCAGGAACCCAGGCCCGGGAAAGGCAGTCTTCACCATTTGCTGCACAATTAGGCCTGGCCTGCCCGTCTCCTTGCCCTGCAAAGGAGCTGAGAGCCTCCTGCTGTCCTCCGTGACGAAGCAGGAACTCCGTGCCCAGCCCCAATGACAGAACAGGCTTTGAAACTGCTAGACCAGTGGTTCTCAACCTCCTGGCCCTTTAAATACAGTTCCTCATGTTGTGACCCAACCATAAGATTATTTTCGTTGCTACTTCATCACTGTAATGTTGCTACTGTTATGAATCGTAATGTAAATATCTGATATGCGGGATGGTCTTAGGCGACCCCTGTGAAAGGGTCGTTCGACCGCCAAAGGGGGTTGCGACCCACAGGTTGAGGACCGCTGTGGTAGACAGTCCTGTTGGGATGTAGACATGGCCAAAGCACGGAAAAGGATCAAAGCGATTGGTTTCTTCCTGAGCTGTAATGTTGGCCTGTTGTTTTCGTGGCTCAAACTTTTGGCTAAATTTGGGTCAGACACCTATACTTTCTATTTTTTATCCTTATGGTTCTCGAATTATGCACCAAGGTGCCCCAGGGTGCCACGGGGAACTCACCAGGACACCGTGGGATAGAACTTTCAAGGAAAACAGTGACATGTGCCAGACGCTATGCACACTTCTAGTTTGAGGTAGTTCACAGTTTCCACCTCAGTTCCCACTACATTCCTTTTGATTACTCTGTATCTTTGCAAAACTGGGCATTCGGGGGCTGCTGGGGTAGAAAGCAGGTACCATGCAAAATCAAAGTGAAGAGGAAATGGAGGGTAGAAGCGCCCATCTGACTTGAGGATTTGTCAGATAATTGTGGTTATTTAACATAACCACATATGTAATAAATACATATTTTATTTCAATTTATGTGCATTATTTTTACAGTTCTTAGGTTGTTAGACATAAATACGTATTAAGTTGCTTGGACTTAACTACTTACTAAATTAAACCATTAGGTATTTCTTTTGACCTAGGAGTGCCAGGAACCAAGAAAGTTGGGGAACTTTTGTTTTTGGCTCTTTTCAAAATTGAAACAGCTTAATTTTTTCAGGTTATTAAAGTTATGTGTTCATTATAAAAGAATTAGACAATAAAACACTGAGGCAGAAAAATCTTCCCTAATCTCATCACTCACAGATAATTCCCATGAAAATATTTACAGAGTCTTCACCTATATTTTAAAAATCATCCGTTCAGTGCTCTAATGATTTTTCTTTCTTGTCAGTGTATTTGTACAAGTTCCCCTTTCAAATTCTACCCCTCTCTTGGCAGAACGGAGAGGGAAAAGGTCTAACACCCTGTCCCCTCCCATCCACTTGCGCACCCCTCTCAGAAACAGCTGAAAGTCGACTTACCGCAAAGAACTCTAATGGAATGGGTGCCGGCAATTTCTCTTTAAATCTCTCATTAAACTCCTTGCCACCCAACAGCAAACCAAAAACCATCAGCCCGACGCCTAGGGAACACACGTTGAGGTTTTTAACATTCTGCAACACAGCAACTGTACTCTGTAACACAGTGAACACTGGGGTTTACATCCGGCAGCGGCCCTGTGCAGTCACTAGTGCACCAATTCACACAGCACCCCAGCACTGGGCGTTCTCGTCAGAGCTCTCAGGCTCAACTCGCTCTCTTTGTAGCTTCCCCCAGTGTGGAGCCTTTTCCCCTCGTCAGACACCTTGAAAGCTGAACTCTTATCCAACAATCTTACAGTGCTCTTTGACATGCTCACGTGTCAATGTAGCATTATAAAATTCAGAGGAGTAACCCTTGTACTGAGTCCTGAGCACTGGGAAAGGATTAGGGGCTGAATACCAGCAAAATAATACAAAGGTAAAGACACAGAAAAACTTTTAAGAGCTGAAAGAGAGAGAAATCCTGGTGAGCAGATGAAAGAGGAACCAGGTGGGCTTTGAAGGCAAGAGGGTGCTGAAGTGTGAAAAGACGTCCGGAGAGTTAAAGAAAGCCGTTTAATTTTATCCTCAGGCTGCAATTCCCAGCACCCCAAATACAGTCAATACTTATCTGGACCCTGGGGAAGTAGGTTACTGCTGAGCCCCGGCTACACACCTTTCTTAGCAATGCCTACAGCATACTCAGGTGCCTGTCTGTTGTCTCCTGGGTGACGAGGCATTTAGAAAAATCTCAGAGTAAGAAGCATGCTACCAGCTATTATGGGAAATGAAGAATTTAGTTATTTAGGGAATGTTCCTACAGTTTGATTCCATTTGAATCCATCCAGGATTCAATTTAAATGGCACCCCCTCAAAGTGACTTTCCTAGACCTCTAATCTAAAGGTCTCCCTATGCTTCGAACAATATTTTAATCAATTACACATGTATGCAATTAATGGCTTACTACTCGTCTTCCCATTGGACTGTAAGTTCCAAGAGGGCAATGGCCATGTCTGCTCACTCACTGCTGGGCCTCGCACAATGTCTAGCACATAAATACCTACAAGGTCTTTCTGCCCAAGAATAGCTTTAGCATCATCATGTAAGTTTCAATAGCACTTTAACTATCAATTGGTTCTAATTATTTAAACACTTCTTTTATCCATGGGTTACTCAGAAGTAGGTTTTTTTTGTTTCTAAATGTGTGGGAGTTTTAAAGCTATATTTAATTACTAATTATGCCATACTGTGTAAAAATATACTAAATTTTTAGAATTTGTGATCAGTTTCACGTGTAAGTTTCAACACAATTGGTTATTACCATTGTTCCCTCTGTTCTTATAACGAATTTATATTTTCTCCGAGTTGGATGCGAAGGTCTATATATTTTTTATTAAATTAATTAATTTGGTTAATTGTGTTAGCCAAATCTTTTATAGACTTATTTTTTGCCTGCTTGAATAAGCAGTTTTTGAGAGACTTAGGTTCTCCCATGACACTTTTAAATTATTTGTTAGTTCCTGAAGAGAATATAATTCTGTCTCAAGAAAAAGCTGTCTTTTCAGCTAACGAGGGTGAAGGCGTAGGCACCAAATAAAGACCTAACAAAAAATTCCTTGCAAGGCAGGCAGTATCGTACATTAATAAAAGGAGAGTTTAAGGTTTAATTCATTTTGTAGTGCTCTTTTCAGAAAAGCGTTAGAATAACCAAGTTTTCCCCACGGTATTAAAATTCTTAGCAAAAAGAAAAGTGAGCCCTGAAGGTAAAAGAGATACAGAAGAGGAGGAGGGAAAAGAAAGAAGGGAAAGCTAGGACCAGTAAGTTGCTTACTTACATACACCACTGAAAAGATCCCACTGTACCGCTTTGTTTTAACTCCAAACAGGTATTTTAACATGGAGGTGAAGACATGCACAGCTGCCGCAGTGGTAAAGCCACGCACCAGGGGCTCTGTGAGGTATATGGCCACAAATCCAAACCTACAGACACCTAGGCAAAACTATTTTTTTTTTAAAATGACAAAGAAACAAATAAATCACATGATAGATCAGGAAGTTAAAACCAACAGAAAACATACAAATTTCTTTCTGGACCACTTTCTAACACTACGCATTTGCACCTGCAACTGTTAAGCAGCTAACAAATCAATCGCTGATTGTACAAAAAACACTGGAAGGTCTGGAGTGGCTTGGAGTCCCAAAGAGCATCAGGCACTCAGAACCAGGGACACGTTGAGTCAATGTCATTGCCTGTTCCTTCCAAGCACATATGAGAAGCCTCTTCCCATTACTAAACAATTCTGCTTCCGGCTTTTCTTGCTTTTGGCATCTCTAAAGTACCCAGCGGAGGTTTGCTGGCTCCTAAAACATAATTAACTTCAGTAAGGCATATAATCGGCCTGGTGCTCCCGGTGCTGCGAGCTCTGAGCTCTGATCCTACCCACCCAGTAGACCAGCCAAGAGTGCTCAATAGATATTTACGAAATGAACAAACGAGAGTCCATTTCCCCGTCTCTGAGTCTTACCTGAATGATTCCTGCAAGTAAGGTCACTGACATGGCGACTTTCACTCTCAAGGCGTCTCTGGCTTCTGTACCATTGGTTGCGTTTACTCCTCCCGGGATGACTATATCATCTGGTACTAATCGAACAGCCACGCCGCCAATCATCAGGCTAATTACAGCAAACGGACCTGAAATAGTGCAGCATGAATCAAGGAAATCAGTTTCAGTGTAGCTGATGTGATTGTTGCCAGTACTCTAGAGAACACGGGTGGAGGCAACAAATCATCATTGAAATAAAATTGCGCTGTTCTCCTTAAGCATGAAGCCACGGCTCCTGGATTATACTGGTATGTAAACTGTGTGTGTGCAGATTGTATTCTCCAAAAACGACCATGATGACATCTTCCATCCCACAGACTCTTCTAGAAATTTGACATTTCCCTATTAAGACATAGACTAATTTTTAATTCACCTCTCCTTGAATCTGAGAGGACTTGTGACATATTAGTAACCAAAAGAATGCTCTTACCCTTTGAGACAGCCTGGAGAGACCTGGGGAGCATTATGCTAATCGAAATAAGCCAGTCAGAGAAAGATAAGTATCACATGATCTCACTCATATGTGGAATCTAATGAACAACATAAACTGATGAACAAAATAGATCCAGAGACATGGAAGCATGGAAGAGACTGAGGAGTCTCAGAGGGAAGGCGGGGGTGGGTATGGAGTGGGGAGAGATTAACTGGGGGAATTTATATGCATGTATGCATAGCCTGTGGACACAGAGGATAGTGTGATGAAAACCTGGGAGGGGCAGATGTGAGATGGAGGGGGTCAATGGGAGAAAAAGGGGGACATCTGTAATTCTTTCAACAATAAAGATAAATTTTAAAAAATGCAGCAGCAGCGATACTGTTGACTTCCGAGGCTAGGTAACAAAAGGCGACGCAGCTTCCACCTGAGAGCTGTTACACTGGCTCGTGCTGCAGCCCTGAGCGTCAGAAAACTCGTTAGGACCACGTGGAGAGAGAGGAGAGGAGAGAGAGGAGTGGGGAGAGAAAGAAGAAAGAGAGAGAGAGCAAAGGGCAAGAGGAGAGGGTGAGAGGGAACAAGAGAGAGAAAGAGGTTCAGGCTTCCTGTAGCTGCTCCAGCCCAGCTCCCTTCTGACTCTCAACTGATGAGACCCTGAGCCAGACCTGCCCAGATGAGCTTTTCCCAAATCCTGACCCACAGGCACTGTGAGACACAGTGAAATGATTTTTGCTTTAAGCTGCTAAAGTTGGGGGTATTTGTTACCTAGGAATGGACATCTGAAACACTGTGCCTGTGTTTGCTGGGGGCTGCCTCATGCAGCACCAAGGCTATTATGAAATCCATATAAATCTGATCCTAAATACACTACATACACTACAGGGAATCCAGAGCCTAAAATCAGATGAAAATGCAATACACGTGTGGTAATTAGGAACTTGCAGTATCACTAATGAAATAAAAAGAAAAACCAGATGCAAGTAAATTGTATTATGCATTAAAACACATATTTCACAGATTTTAACAACTGCTCTTTTTACACAAGAAAATTGTCTTTCTTCCCTCCCCCACCCGCCCCCGATTATGCCAAGATGATAAGAAAGCTATTAGTTCTAGAAATCTTGGGGGGAGTGTATTTTAAAGTACCTACTGGGTGTGCAGTAACAAGTTATTATTAAGCGGATGTTCTAATAACAAACATGCTATGTCTTCGGCACATTGCAAAGCTGAGAAAGCCAAATGGAAAGGTGCTAGAGTATCAAGTATAAGCTTTTACCTATGGATATGTGTCTGGAGGTTCCAAAAAAACAATACATGATAACAGGGTAAAACGAAGAGTACAGGCCGAACACCGGAGGCACAGCTGCCAGCATTGCGAAGGCTAAGCCTGCGGGATTAAACACCAGACAGAAATAGGGAGATCATTAGAAAAGATGGTTGATGTGTATTTTTCTCTTGGTTCTTTATCTCTGACGAACAAGTGACAACCATATTAACTTAAGCAGAAGTGTCTTCACTGGCCCGCCCTTCTACCCTGAACATACACATTATCCTACCTTCTGCAGAGAGTCCAGGCTGGGTTGTCCCCTGGTCATCTCCTCTTTTCCAGGAGTCATTGCCTTTGCCTATAGAGTGGGGCCTTGACTTATGAGTGTCCCAACTAACGAGTTTTTTGAGATACCAGCTGTCTCTCTGCTGATTTTTTGCATTGAGTTGATAGAGTAATTTGAGTTAACGAGCTCGGTCTCAGAAAGAATTAAACTCGTAAGTCAAGGCCCCACTGTACCGAGTCATAGCCACCTCTAATTGACTTCCCACATTCATTCTGGTGCCCCTCCCACCAACCAAATCCATTCCCCAAACAGCGTCTCAGTGACTCTGACAAAGGAAACCCAAGTGAAAAGCATGCTGATAGCTTTCACTGCACTCAGAATGAACCCACAAGTGGCTAACACCGCTAGGCTGATCAGCCCCTGCCCACCTCACTCCCAGAACACTGCCTTTCTGTTAATTCTGCAAATCATGTCTTCAAACACCCATTCTTTTTCTGCCAAGTGCCTTCACAAATGCTATTCCTTCTGCCTGCAATGCATTTCCTCTCGTCCTTTTTATTGATTTCAAAGAGAGGAAGGGAGAGTGGGACAGGGATAGAAACATCAATGATGACAGAGAATCACTGACTGGCTGCCTTCTGCACGCCGCCTATTGGGGATTGAGCCCATAACCCCGGCATGTGCCCTGACTGGAAATTGAACTCTCACCTCCTGGGTTATAGGCCGATGCTCAACCACTGAGCCACACCGGCTGGACACCTCTCTTTCTTTACCTGCCTCCTACTCATCCCTCAGGTCTCAGCTCACATATCATTTCCTTAAAGAGGTTTTGGTGATTTACCTTCTTAAATTAGGTCTCCCTGTGATTATCTCATAGTATCCTGTATTTTCCTTCATAGTGTTTAACATCATCTATATATATATAAAAGGCTAATAGGCAAAGTGTCCCCATGGGAGTTCGACTGGGAGTTCTATCGCTTGCTATGACATGTGCTGACCACCAGGGGGTGGCACAGAATGAAGGAAGGCCCCAGCTGGCAGCTGGGGAAGGAAGGCCTTGGCCAGCCCTGATTGCCTGCCAGGCCTAGGGACCCTAGCCAGGCACAAATTTTGTGCACCGGGCCCTAGTTTATACATAAAAATGTATATGTGCTTTTATTTGATTCAGGTCTCTGTCCCTGATTGGGGAGTTAGTTCCATGAAGACAGGGAGGGACAAGCAGATCTTGATAAACAAGTGTGAATGGATGAACAAATTAATGAGATATTCTTAAATTCTTAATATCGCATATAAAAATCACACAAATGCAGAGAATTTAACATTTCATGATCTCTTGTAATTAGAATATGAGCTTATCATCAAAAACCTTAATGATGACAACCCCAACAGCATTTCACAGAGTGACTGGTTAACCCAGGCAGTTCCTAACTGTACTGATCTGCAAAACAATATCACCACATTCTACGACTACTAGCTCTGGGGCTTTTTAAGGGTTACATTTTTTTCTGGAGAATTCTTTAGACAGGTAAAGGTTACTAGAATGATATGATAAAAACTATGAATTTGCAATCATGATGAAATTAAACAGAAAGAAGGTCAAGCAATTGTTTGAGGATAATGTAGTAAGAAAACAAAAATAAATAAATATATGCTACTGACCTTGAGGAAGCTGAAGCACCCCTGTGCTAATGCCTGAGACCAAGTCACCCAACACATACTCCTTGAATTTGTATGCTGGCAACCACTTAGTTATGGGTAAGAACATATAAATGATATTTCTTATTTTCTTCGGAGTACATCTGGGAGGACAAAAAAAGACAGAGAAAAAAATGAGGAACATTTCTGTAGACTTTGAACGGAGGCATTTTCCCTTCCTTTTATCCTGGAATGTCAAGGAAGACATTCCCACTGGTGCCGAGGATAAGCTTTCACTCTGCAGAGATCAGAGACAAGAAGAGCTGTTCTTGCAATTTGTGTTGTTGGGGACATCTAAATCGGCTCCATAATAATGCTCTACAACTGGCCGTGAAAAAGAAGAAAAATTTAGCTTCAGAACAACTGAGATAACTCCGAAGCTATTATTTTAATAGATACAATCCTTAATGTACTTCCTGTGTTGGTGTAAAAGTGAAGTCGGGGAATTATTTACTGATTGAGTTAACTTTTGAATGTGGAACCAATGACCAGCATCTGCCCATTAGTTTTCCTCTTTCCTTATAAAATCAAGGAAATTTATACAGGTATTTTGAGTTTTATTAACATATGTCCCTTGCTTTAGGGTCTTTGATTCGGTAAACTCAGAATGCCATTTGTCACTGGGGTGTAATAGCTGAGTCTATTATGTCTGGTTGTCTTGGTTAACTGGAAGAGCAAGCTGATAAAACCAAGGCCTTGCATGTAATCCCTGTGGGCCTTGGCCAATTTTTTTGCCAGGCTACGATCAAAGACATCACTGAGTAACAGTATGGGCAGATGAGTTCCATGGCCACAAGGAAAATTTTAAGTGTTCCCAGTGACAAGGAAACCATTTGTTCCATTCAAAATATATTATTGCAGCATGCATGGTATTTTTATATAGTATCTTTCGTGGTTAAGAGTATTTGGCAATTTGATGAAGGAAAATATTAGAAGCAAAATGTGAGGCAACTGTGGTAAGAGCAATAACTTTGAGTAAAACAAACTAGATTTGATACCTTGTTTAGAAAATTGAGATATTAATAATAGTTACACTTATATAATACTTGCCATATGCCTAATCCCCTAGTAACTCTACAACGTAAGTGCTATTATTATACCCATTTTACAAACCAGGAAACTCAAGCACATAGCTGGTAGGTGGTTGGGACTAGGATTAAAGCTCAGGCAGTCTGACTCCAGTGCAAACATTTTCCACCTCTCCTGAAAGGTGAAGCTTAAATGAACACAGAACACAGAAGGAGTAGTATCAAGGGTCCCGGAGGCAGTAATCAAATGGTTTGGTTTTGAAGTTTGGGAGCTATCAACAGGCACACATGTATTGACATTCTCACGCCTGCAACATGGCTGTGTTCGTGTCTCCAAAATTAGGAGTCACAGGCCACTGAGGGTCCTTGACAGTATAGGTTGGGGATTTAGATTCAGGGTTTTTCCAAATGGGGTAGAAAAAAAGAGAATGGCTGGAGCATTCTGAGAGACAAAGGGAAAAGGTGGATATTCTGAATGTGGTGGAGAATTGGAAGCGGGTTATTTATAGGAACCTTTACACATAATCCCCAAGGCACAGCAGGAATTCAATAAGTATGGTGAAATACCTAATGAAGCTCGTGCTCAATCAAATATCTATCACAGACAACCCTGTGGACAGTTCAGCAAATCACGAGTGCTCACCCTTTTTCCCCCTCCATTTCACCAGATTTTCCTTATACACTTGACCTTGTTTCTCTCACAACTGAATGACAGAATACAGGAAACAGGTTAAAACACAACATACGTGAATGCCTGTTTTAGCTTATCCCCAATGGAGTCCGGAATCTTGTCCTTCGTGTGCAGTATTTCCTGGAGGGCCAGATGACTGAAGATAGGCCTGTCCACATAGTACTTCTGGGTCGCTGCAGGGATTTCAGTTTCTTCAGCATGATCCATAGTACTCTGAAATGATTCATCAACAGCAGGAGACAAGCATTTCCTGAGTGTCACTAGGGAGAAAATAAACACTCTATTTCAGGTGCCAAAATCCAATTGATGACTGCTCTTAAGCATCTCTTCCTTGCAGTATTCTAAGTTCTGAATGCTTCATCTTTGGACACCCCAGAGCACCTAACACAGTGATCTGTACATAGCAGGCACGAATAAATGAAATAAAATCAATAAAAATCACCCCCCAGGTCAATAAGTGGCTCATTGACCAACCACAGGGCATCATGAAAAAAATATGCTTAGGTCTAAAGAGGTTGAAAATTCAAGAGTCTAATATAAAAAAGAATTCTAGCAGCAAATGAAACCAAGTTCCAATAAGGATAATATGAAAAGATTAGTCTGGAGAAAGGATTTTGGCAGCAGAATCTGACAAATAAAGATTGTATGTTTTTGTTTTGGGCTAACTTTTTAAAAAATATATATTTTTATTGATTTCAGAGAGGAAGGGAGAGGGAGATAGAAACATCAACGATGAGAGAGAATCATTGATTGGCTGCCTCCTGCACACCTCACACTGGGGATCAAGCCCGAAACCCAAGCATATGTGCTGACCCAGAATCAAACCATGACCTCCTGGTTCATAGGTCGATGCTCAACCCAAACCATGCTGGCTGGGCTGGGCTAACTTTTTATGGCCACTCTAGGGATATCACAATATCCAAGAATATCTGGGCTGATGTATGAGCAGAGTTTGACACATGGCAATGCTACCACTCTGCCTTCTAGCTGCCCCCATCTCCTCCAAAACAATACATGACAGTGTTGTAGAAAAGTTTGTAATTCAGGAAAATATCAAGCTTAGAGTCCCATTCACTCTAAGAAATTCCATTTCTTTCCCCTCACTCTCCTTCAATTTCCCCCACACACTTATCATTGTAGCTTTCAAAAGCCTGGTTTTGTGCTCTGTTTCTCTGAAGTCTCCCCCTCACCTCTAATCCTTCATAGATGTGTCTATAGTTGCTACTTTGTGTATTTTTCCATTTTTCTCCCACTGTATTACCATTATTGGTTTCCTCTTCTAGACTGTAAATTCCTCCAGGCAACACCATACTCTGAATTCCCGGGATCTAGCTCAGTCCTTGTTTCCTAGCAGGCACTCAGGAATAGCTGAATGAATCAAATCTTTGGATTGGTGCCTCATGATTGTTGATAATGTAAGCCAGGCTTCCTCTCTGTTATATCACAGTGCAGAAGGCTAAGTCTATTTTAAACACTCTTACTGTATTGTTCCTTTTGGACACGTCCTCCTTGGTCTTCTTCTGTCCTATTTTTAGAAAGGTTATTCCTTCCTCATATAGCCACTCAAAGAGAAAAAGACCGGACAGAGCTGAGGGGAATCTAATAAGAATCAGACTGTTTTTTTGTTTTTGTTTCCCTATTGCAAAAAAGTCAGCTTTACCAATGATTTTACTCTTAACACACATTTACTGTTGTCAATGGGACAAGCAGTGATGACCACTGTCTAAGGATATTGTATCATCTACAATGCAGTGGTGACCAAACCTGGCCACTCACTTCAATCGTCTGGGGAAAGGTTTAAAGTACCGCTGTCGAGCCCAACTGGTGTGGCTCAGTGGTTGAGGGTCAACCTATGAACCAGGTCTCAGTTCAATTCCCAGTCAGGGCACATGCCCAGGTTTGGGGCTTGATCCCCAGTAGGGGACGTGCAGGAGGCAGCCGATTCTCTCTCATTATTGATGATTCTCTCTCTCTCTCCCTCTCCCTTCCTCTCTGAAATCAATAAAAATATATTACAAAAGTAAGAGTTCCTTCTTATAAAAAAATAAAGTACCGCTGTTGAGGCCTCACCCTGACTCTTCTGAATTAGGGTTCCCACGGGTGGGGCCTGGACAGTGGACATTCACTCCATGTGGGTGCAGGCATGCACCGCTGTATCACTGTATCCATGTGTGCTGACTTTCTTAAGATTTCAGAGCAACAGAGTAGGTTTACATTGCAGTATGTATAATGTAAATATACATACTATATAGTTTAGTGGAGGAAATAAGATATTTCTAAAATATGAGACAGCCTTTTCCTTATTCTACCCTCCACCTAAAACCTCTCAAAATTCTTTTGACTTCATTAAGCAGAGCAATTAGATGTATGTTTTGAAAGTTCCCTGGGAAATTCAGATGATCAGCTAGGTGGGTATTTGACGTATATAAAAATACTGGCTTTCAACTCTGCCTGAACCCAGAATCTTTTAGAAAACAACAGACATCAGAAAACTTTTTAAGAAGCATTCTAAGAGCCCTGGCCAGTTTGACATAACAAATCACAAAGAAACATTTGAAAACAAAAGCCAATTATATACTTTTAGAAATAATAATAAATCAGTGACATGATTAAAGCCATATGAGATCCTTTAAAAAAAGTAATCTTTATAACAGATGATATGCTAGAACATAACATAATCAATATAGTAAGGATTAATATAAAATGCTTACTGAAAAGTACATTAAATGAATTTTGAAGAGGAATTTGAAATATAAAGGCGTGATTTAGCCGTAAAAATGGTGCTTTGAATTTGACATTTTAATTTAGGGAGCTGGTTCTCAGGCCTGGCTGCACATGGGAATCACCTGGGCAGCTCTACCTACCACTGATGCCCGACTACAGCCAGGGATTCTGATTGAATTGGCCAGGAGGCAGGCAGGGATTGAGAGCTTACACGCTCTCCACAGGAGTCTAATGTGCAGCCAAGACTCAAAACTGCTGACTTAGCGGAGGGCAGGATGAAAAGCCACACTCACCCAGTACGCCACAAGTCAATTCTTCAGTCTATGTGTATTCCAAATATCGCATGGGACGTGCTGACATTCAAATTTTGTTCTTTATCTCAACTTTAACACATTTTGCTAAATTGGGCAACTGTAACTCTCCATAGGTTAGGAAGAGACAGAGTAAAGAGGGGACTCTCAAATATTTTTGAAGTGTTGGGACCCTGGCTGTAGGCTCTGTCCTCCTTGAGATAACTGTTGGGCAGCGTAGAGATGTCTTAAGTGGGGAAAGAAAGGCCTGCTGGGAGGGGTTAGGCCTGGGAAGGCGCAGAACATGTTATAATGAAAGGCTGTCCTTTTGGGGAACTTCTAATACTCCTCAGCAATAATTAAATAATTAAAGCCTCGAAAGCTATCAATAACCACCTTATCAGAATGAGAGAGGCAAAGTAACCGAGGGACCAACACAAGGAGATCAAATGACCAGACTTCTATCTGACAGATAATGAGGTTCCAGAGTGGCGATCGAAATTATAAATCACCAAATTGTAAAACAAACCCTCACATGAGAGAAAAGTCACTTCTGAGATGGCTTAAAGTGATATATCTTCTGGTAGTCCTCCAACAAAAATACTAATGACAGAAAAGCAAATTGATCTAGAGGTTTTTCCACAGCTATAAGAGAAGAAATTTAAAAATAGTTTAGGACATCTTTTATCATAGATTTCTAGACCTGAAAGTAATCTTGGAGATCATCCAATTTAAGTCCCCCACGTTGTAGGTGAGAAAATGAACTCCACTACACTCACTTGGGCGTAAGTGACTTACCGAAAAATATTCTCAAAATGCAAAACTTGTTTCCTATTCAAAGTAGTTGTCAAATGTAAAAGGCACAGATATTTATAAATAAAAATTATAACAATATAAAAATACTCATGAAGATGTAAAGTACAGCACAGGGAAGACAGTCAATAACATTGTACTGACTATGCAAGGTACCAGGTAGATACCAGACTTATGGTGGCGGTCACTTCACGTGGTGTACAAATGTCTAATCACTTGCTGTACACCTGAAATTAATAAAATATTGTATATCAACTGTAATTGAAAAGTTAAAAATATTATAACAAAGCAGCAACATTTTAGCTTCAAACTAAAGGCAAGAATTAGTTGCTTGGCAATAATGAAGATTCACTATGATTTTATGGAAGATGCTCCAAATTGGAGGTCAGGGTCAGGGTCTAGCCCTAACTTCTGCATCTCAAGTTCTATGCTGTGATGACAGGGTTAAGTAGATCAGGAGTTCCATACTTGGAAACATGTCAGAATCACCTGGGAGCTCGAAACCACAGATTTCCAGGTCCTTACAAGATTCTGATTGAGTAATTCTGGAATCTGTATTTTTTTTTTAAATATATTTTATTGATTTTTCACAGAGAGGAAGGGAGAGAGATAGAAAGTTAGAAACATCGATGAGAGAGAAACATCGATCAGCTGCCTCCTGCACATCTCCCACTGGGGATGTGCCCGCAACCCAGGTACATGCCCTTGACCGGAATCGAACCTGGGACCTTTCAGTCCGCAGGCCGACGCTCTATCCACTGAGCCAAACCGGTTTCGGCTGGAATCTGTATTTTTTAAAGCCCATGGGGTAAGACTGATGAACAACCTGTTGGGAAACCAGACTGTAAGCTCCATGAGAACAGAAACCCAATACTGTTGCTATCTGTACAGTGACTGCTCAGTAGAGCTCAGAAATGCTTGTTGAATGAATACGGAAAAATAACTGCCTCTCTGGGTCTTAGTTTCCTGGTCTTTAAATGATATTTCCAGTGATAACATCCTGAGGTTAGTCTTGGCAAGTTTGTTCAAAATGCCAATGAAATCTTTGTGCTTAAATTAGCTAGAATGGATTCAGTTGTCTGCAACTAAGAAGTTTACATACACACACACACACACACACACACTCACACCAGTTTAATAATGTTTTCCTCTGTTTTAAGTTGGAAGGTGAGTATTCTTCACTATGAACTGGAGATGTCAGTTAAGACATCTACCCATCTATTCAAAGTAATCAAGTTGCATATTTATAATTCTAATAATGCATATGTTAGCCTTTTATTTATTTATTTATCTTTTTAAAAATCTATTTTTATTGATTTCAGAGAAGAAGAGAGAGGGAGAGAGAGAGATAGAAACATCAATGATGAGAGAGAATCATTGATCGGCTGCCTCCTGCAGACCCCCTACTGGGAATGGGGCCTGCAACCCGGGCA